TGGGGGGGGGGGAGGAGGGCCCGGGATGGCTGGGTCCTGGGGAGGGACAGCCACATGATCCGCATCCCACCTGACCCAGGAATCAACCAGCCCTGTGGAACGTCATTATTTTTTTTTTTTTTTGTCCTCCGTCAAAGAAGAGGACTCGAATACCCCAGCGCTTCTTTTCCCCTTTCCCCGACCAGGTTTACAAATACCCGAAGATGTGAGACGCTCCGTGGTTTGCACCTTCCCAGAGGTGCCTTCGCTTGGGATTACAAACAGAGAAAGGAGGAGAGCGGCCCCTCTGGGATTATGCTCTGGAGCAGGTATGTGGCTGGGTAGGTGCTGTGCCGAACGCTGCCGTGCCTGAAGGGATCGTTCTCTTTGCAGAGACGAGCACGATGATCTCTTCCAGTAATTTCTCTTCTGTGCGTTTATTTATGTACATTTAAAATCCTCGGGTTTTAGCAAGGAAGACTCATTCCTCAGGAGCAAATGCTCTGCGGGGTTTGAATTTTAAGCTGATTCTGCTGAAAGCAGAGAGGGGTGTGGAATTACCGCAGAATAACTATATTTTCTGCACAAATCTACGTTCTGTATAACCATATTCACTATTTTAACATCACTTATTTGTCTTAAAACAATCCCCTGACATGATCAGTTCGATGAAATCAGAAAATTACTTTTACTAAGATGGAGCAGACCAGTCTGCCCATCTGTTTTGTTTGGGATTTTTTTTTTCTATCTCTAGATACATTCAAACAGCTTCTTCCTTCCCCGTGTTACTGCACTAAACCAGCTGCTTTTGTATTTTTCAGTCATTAATTTGAAATTATCCTTTCTGCAAGTGTTGTCTCCCTTTTTCTGTGTGGGTACCTGGGTGCAGGTACTTAGGGAAACACCACAGGCATAGTGATCTTTGCTTATCTGTAGTCAGCAGAGGCAAGAAGGCTATCCTGGTTTTGCTAATTCAGGCACATACTCTCTAAGAATGCATAGCAATATTTTTCATTTATCCAGCTGGCTTCCAGCATGTCAAACAGTATGTTGGCTCCACAGAGTAATGGAGAAGTAAAACTGCCTGCTGCTTTCAAAAAGCCATTTGTGTGTATGAGACAGGATTCATAGCCAAATCTTTCTGGCAAAGATTTTTAAATGTGGTTCACGAAGATTTGTTGTTAAAACCACTGTTAAGCACTTAAACAAGTGGCTTGGTTTGCAGAAAAAAAAAAATTAGATGCCAACCCAGAGGCATCCTTAAAAGCTAATCTTTATTTGGCTGTCTAAGTATGGAATTTTGGAAGCTTGATTTATGAGTTTATTTTAAACATCCTGGTCTCAGATGAGTCAGTAAGTGGAGGAATTTCTATCCCTTCGACACATTTGGGGAGCTCTGCTCCTTAGCTTAAAGAGAGAGCTTGCAGACTCTTACTCCCCCGCAGTTCTCCTGTGAAGCCTCTGCTTGTGAAGCCTCTGCTTGCGAAGCTGTGAGGTGCAATTCCCCCATCTGGGTCGCACCATATGATCTCCATCTGTATTTTCCTTTGCAGCCCCACCAGGCATCCTCCCTCAGGTGTTTTAACAATTTAGAAAGCAATTTCAATCAGACAATGCAGAATAACCCGCTAGGATCCTCCAGTTGAGTCTGCTCCCTCTCCCCATCACAAACACAGTTCTCCCAGCACCAAAACATGACGCAGGGCTTCTATGTTTGGAATTTCTCCATTCCAGCAGGTTCCATCATTCCCTAGACTTCTCCTCTGACAGGTAGTCAACCAGCACCCGCCCAGGAAGACATCTCCAGTTCAGGGGTTATCAGCAGGCCAGCAGCTCGCCTTGGTGGCTTGTCCTAGCCTGCTGTTGTCCTCCTTGAGCCTAGCTCAGCTGAGACATGCCTTCCAGCAACCACCTCTGCATCAGGCATTTCCAGCCTAACTATGGGCCATGCATGGCCTTCAGCCCTCCCGGCTTCTCCAGCAAAGTTAGTGTAGGAGGACTACGGAATGCTCTCACTAATGACCATAACCTCCAGTGGAGTCCCATAGGAACGTTCTCCTACTGCTCATTCGGGTCTCCTCCTCTTCTTCCTATCAGATAAGCCATCCTGGAAACAAGATCTCTGGCAACTCTATCTCTGCCATGATTATTAGCCACTAGTGCCACCCCACTCTCTGTCATGACGTCTGTCACAGGGGACCTGTGTCGTGTGAGCACTAGATCCCCTGAGAAGGGTCAAGAGCCATATGACAGGCACTCTCACATCCTAGCACAGATGTTTGTACCAGTGCAGAAATCCTGTTACCACATTTTCTTGTGTGCTGAGAAAGCAGCTGTCACGATTTAATATCAAGAATTAATCTCTATATAACCTTTTCTATATTGAAGCAACAAAATAACCCCAAAAAAAAACCAACCCTAAGGTTGTCCTAGGAGGAGAACTTGTTGTCACTGCTAGTGAGGGGGTGAGTTAAGCTGCTGGAGTCCTCACTGAAGCCGGTGGCACATTTTCCCTGTGGGGGAGAGGACATTTGGTGGGGAGAGGGTGAGAATTTCCAAGAGATGGGCAGAGAAATCAGCCAAGTGTGAGAGTCACCACAGCTTATCTGTCAACACTCACCACGGCAAACCAGCCCTGGTAAGCACTGCATTCCTCACTTCAAGCACAAGAGCATGCTGTGCTGTGGGCAGGGCCTGGTGTTGCCAAATGTGTGTGGGAGAGAGCATCTATTTTTTTTACCTCTGAGTCAGGAAAGGGTCCAGCCTAGTCAAGTCCAAGGACAGACTCAAACCCTGCTAAGGAAGGCAAGCAGTCTGCAAAGGTATATTTCAGGCTTTTCCACACTCTTGCACAACTCCAGTAGGTGGACCCTATTTTGGGTTGGAGTTGGAAATGAGGTCGGTTGCTCTTCTCCTTGCTCCCACTTTTTCATGCCCCCACAGTCACACTGGGCACAGATCTGGGTTCTGCCATCATTTTTAGAACAGTGCTAATCTAGAGTTCTGCATACTAGTCACAGCAGTAGGAGGATAGAATAAAGCTCTGAGACATTTAAAACTCTGTGGGTCTTTCCTTTGGGGAAGAAAAGTTACATCTGTCAGGGGAGACTCATAACCACTGTGTACCTGTCTGGAAACACTGTGTTGTCCTTGTTGAGGTAGTAGACACAGCACCAGGCTGCGTGTGTCTCCTACCATTACCCAGACCAGGCTGTGGGCAAGAGCAAAGGAGACAGATGGAAGAAATAGGCAGTCCAAAGGTCATGCCAAACTCAACAATTCATTCAGCACAGCCCAGGTCTGTGAAGGAAGGTTGTGTCCTCCCTGGGCCTTACGGATGACCATATCCTATACCTACTGGAGGATTAACTTCTCACTGCAAGTGACCCTGCCTATCTCTCCAGAAAGGTCATCCTTTCTACAGAGCTGAGGGTGAAAACTCCACCCGTCCTTCAGCACAGCTCTGGTTGAAGAGAATTACATCTGTTTCCTCACTCTGCAGAAGCTGATGAGGTGAACGTGACTGTCTGGGCAGTGGTAAGCACAGATCTGTCTCATATTTTACCACTGTCTGTCCCTCAACCAGACTGATGTCGGGTTTGAGTGGAATCTGCAGTTCCCGTAAGGGCTCCTTCTCACTGTTAAAACAGTCAATAAATTGCTGGGTCTTAGCAATTGACCTTGGGTTAATAGACCTACAGTGACTGCCTGCCTGTCGGTCTTAACCCACAGTAAATACATGGGAAAAATTCATTGACTTCAGATGCAGGAAAAAAAAACATTGCTCCAAGAACCTTTAACACCACAATGAACTAACTTCAAGAGGTGGCACCACCTCTTAAGAAGACTCAGCCAATATGCAGTAACATGACTTATGAATGGGTTTGAACCCTGAATATTCGTCAAAATCATGGATTTGCCCCGGGCCAGGCCTCAGACCCAGTGCTACAGGTCTGCAGTCAGAGTAGTTATCCCATGTGTGAGCTGATAGACCCAGAAGTCCTTGGTCTAGTTAGTTACTGCATGGCTCACCTCTTACTAAGCTCAGTTAAAAGACTAAAGCTGTAAACGGATTCTTCCTCGGGCAACCAGTACAATAAATAAATTGGCCCAAATCCCAGTAAATGTTGCAGCATTATGTCCTTGTTCTCATCTTTAATACCTTGTTAAAATAGTCAGGAAAGAACACTAAGAGTCAACGAAGGTTGACGGCAGAGACTGTCTAGTTGCCCTCAAGCATACAGCAGAAAAATCTTGTTTAGATTCATGCTTATGCAGTAGCTGGGTATAACATATATTCTTTACATGTGCTGGAAATTAAGAACATTTCCTTCCTTTACTTGATTCCATCCATATTTCCTGCTCCTATGACCTCACCCTGCAATACAGGCCAGGCTCTCAGATGCTGATATAAGATGCAATAACATATATTGACTTACGTTATCAGTTCAGTTCAGAAGCTTTTACTGTAAGTTGGGCTGTGACCACACTGGCACTGACAGATTCATCCATGAAGCGGCCTGGCCACGCTTCCAGTCATGTCATCTTTAGCCACCCATACTGCAGAACAGGAATCCACCAGCTGGGTAGAGCCTGGGAACAGGCAGCACTGTATAAGATATCAATATGGATCTCAAAAGTCTTACTGCATTCACAGAATCGTCTAGGTTGGAAAAGCCCTTGAAGCTCCTCCAGTCCAACTATGAACCTCCCCCTGACCGTTCCCAACTCCCCCAGACCCCTCAGCGCTGGCTCAGCCCGACTCTTCAACCCCTCCAGGGATCCCGGGGACTCCCCCCCCTGCCCTGGGCAGCCCATTCCAACGCCCAACAGCCCCTTCTGCACAGAAATCCTTCCTCAGAGCCAGCCTGACCCTGCCCTGGGCAGCTTGAGGCCATTCCCTCGGGGCCTGGCGCTGGCTCCTTGGCTCAAGAGACTCATGAAACTGAAAGGTAGTTGTAGAGGGCAATTTTTAAATTTTTTTCATTTAAATTTATTTTTTCATCTAAATTTATTTTAATTCAAAAGGTTTTTTTGTCCTGATAAAAGTGGGACAGATGTTTTCTATCCCCATGCACTGGAATGCAGAGAGTGAGGAAGAACACACTTTACCTCAAGAGATTTTCAGACTTTGCTCGGAGAAGAGAAAAGCCTTCATAAGAGGAACATAAGAGGAATAGCTGAGCATTTTTATGAGCAATAGACCAGAGAAAAGAACTGGCAGGGAATCTGTGTGCTTACAAAAGCATGTGTATCCACATTCCTCCGCTGCAAGCAGAACTACTAAATGGCCTCAATATGCACACAGACATCTCCAAGTAGCAAGAAA